GCTTTTTTATGGTCAATAAATAATTATTTGTGAATTTTGACTCCAAGACCAAAAATGAGACGTTTTCAAGGAAGACTCTAAACGTTACGTTAAAGGCCTTTGATCAAAGTTCAATTTCAAAGTCATCCTAACCCACTCATCCTTTCTGCCGACTAATTAACACGCGCACACCTGTTCAGTCTTTTATCAACAAAATTTAATATATAAAATATTGACGAAAAATATAAATAATAGGAGTCCGATCAAATTAATTTGAATGAAATAACTTTCTTGCCGCTTTTGTAATTTAACCATTGCTATATATTTTATATTATATGTTAATAATGGTATGATAAATTATTTAATTTGTTACATTATTTTATTAAAACATTCAAGCAATATTATTATTAATATACTAAATCATATAATGGATAGATAATTTATCATGAATATGATAATATAAATAAAACGAAACTTATAGATATTTTAAAATGTGAAATTTGTAGAGTAGTAGTATTTGAGAAGGAAAAAAATAAAAAAAATAAAAAAATAGAAAGTAGTAGATGTTTTTTATTTTAAAAAATTAGACTCCGATCTCTGGGAATCTGACACTAAGGCAATGCTAAAAGACTTGTGGCTGGGAACATCACGACATGCAAGCTGTTGATCTGTGTGTGGGCTGAATTTTGAGGTATGTGAATACGACAAAGTAATGTTCATAATATTTCATAAATGTTAAATTAAATATTTTTAATATGGTGTTTTGGTGCCTGCAAAACGAAAATAAGGTAAAATAGTGATAGTAGGAATAATAATGGTGCGTAGAAGAGAGGCACAGGCGAATTTAAAAAAGAGAACGTGGCAAACAGAGAGACAAAGTAAGCAAATGTTGGATTTTGGGTGTATGCCACGTGGAGCCTTGCCTTGTCCCTTTCATTCCCAAGGTCGCATCCCTTCATTTCAACAAATTCTCCCAAATTAAAATATTTTTAATTAGTCGTTGCTTGTGAGTCTACCATTCAACACTACGCCATGTTCTGTTCTGTGGTTCAATTCTGTTAATCCAGACTTTGATAAGGTTATTTCAGTTGGTAAAAATATCCTATTCAATCTTTGTTATAGTGCCATTATAATTGACACACTTTCTTCGATGCTTAATTTAAAAAAATTAATCAGCTTCATACTTTTTAAAAATTATAATTATATCTTTAAATTTATTAGAAAATATATAATTTTCTTATTTTACCCCTATTTATAATTAATAACAATTACGAAATTCAAAATATAATAAATGAGGGTAAAACTGGAAGGAAAAAAATAATTACTCTAGCTTTATCTTCTACTAAGAATTAAAAATTTCAAAATTTGTTTTATACGAAGGACATGAGAAGCATATAAATAAGCTTCATATGTCATATGGGTTTCATCCCACTCCTATTTATCTATCTCTTTGTAGCATTATGAGGCTGCAATTGAGATTATTTTTAAGTAATTACGAATGTTTTCATATATTTTTCTCATATAAAACTTAAATGTAATTTTTTTTTTCACAAAAGAATTGAACTTTAGTCAAAGTTAACTTGGTTGATTAAAAAGAAGAATCAAATGAAAGATTTAAGGGGACAAGAATAATGGATAAGTTGATAGAACGAGTCAAATAATTGTGGGATAGCACACCGTTCCTTGTTCCAATAGAAAGACCGCCAACAATATTCTAAAACATCTTCTTCAATAATTGGAACCATCTGTGCTGGCTGGATCTGCTTGTAGGCCAGATCCTTCTACAGTTCTAGTAAATTGTAAATGGAAAAAATCGAAGATAAATTTTGAAAAATTCTTAAGGTGGGTCATGTCATTTATAATTTATTTAATAATAATATAACAATCAAATAATATTAAATATAAATTAATTATGACATTATGATAGTGAAGCAAGAAAATTTGAAAAATTAAAGACATGTTTGATTGCTCGAAAGAAAAAAATAAAATAGATTAAAAAAATAAAGATAAAAATAAAATGATCTAAAAGAATAGTAAACTACATTCATAAAGAAAGGAGATGGTTTAGTTTTATGGGATTGAAGATCATGATTTATGAAATTTTTAAAGAGTGTAATGATTTTTACATTTATAGTATATATTAATGAGTTTTATCATACTTATCAAAAGGATTAATAATTATTTAGTTTATTTTTATGTTAATTTTTGAATTCATTTCATTCCATTTATTTCTAGTACCCAAAATGTGACCTAAATATTCATTCTATTTTCATAATAAAACCAATTAAAATAATATAACACACTCTATCTATACAAAAATTTTTCAAAATCTAAATAAATAATTGAACTTAAAAATTGTTACTCTTTTTTATTGGAAAGATAAATACTTTCTCCGTAAAAAATGTAAGGTATTTTAAGAGGTTTGAATATTTAAAAATATAAAATATTTTTTATTTCTAAAGGTATAGTTATTATTTTTTTAAAAAATACTTTTATTAAATAAAGTACTTTATATTTATTTTAAAATAAAATATTTTATTAAATAAAAATAAATATAAAAATATAAGGTTAATTATAAAATAAATAATTATTTTATTGAAAGATGTTATTTGATTAAAAATATTTTTAATTTTTTTATCTGAAGGAATATCTAAATAGCCACTCAATGATTCGGATGAATCAAATGGGTCCCGCATTCTTACTACGTGGTACTACTGTTCTCGACCACGTCCTCTAATTCCAGCTCAAGATTCACCCAATTATTCGACTCTCCCCAACCAGAAAAAACCAATTATTCATTTGCTTCCAAAATCCCCTCCCAATAAGCTTGGGCCCCATACCTTAAGGGGCACCTAGGGCACAACCCTGAACAAATGGATCCCACCCTGAGCCCTCTCTTAAAGACACCCCACCCTTCTCATCCAATTAAAGTCCTCCACGTGTCAATGTTACCACGTGGCCTCGCTCCTATTTATACTCGCCAAAATGGAAACGGCAGAAACAGAGCAAAAGCAAACATCACTACAAGTTACGAGCAGAAACTACAATAATGGGAGCACCTTCGGTTATCTTACGAAGCCTCTCTTTGCGGCGGATGATTCAGCCGCGAGCTCCGCCTTCCATGGTGGCTCCGTTGCCTGAGAAAAGCCGCTTCGATGAACGACTCACGGCGGAGCTAGACACTCTCCGGCCGCCGCAACAAGGCAGCGCTGGATTGATTCGATTTCTCGACGCTTCCATCGCTGCTCAGAAGATTGCTTTGGGAATGTTGGTGAATATTCCTTACAGAGATGATACCGATCGTGGAGCTCTCGAGCATTACCTCGAGACCAACGTTGAAATTCTCGATTCCTGTAATCACTTATCGGACAAAATCGAGATCGTCAAGAAGTATTTGGATTCGTTGAGAGTGGTCCTGCGTTTCGTCGATGGAAGCTTCAGCTCCAGAATGCGCGCGATGGAGCATCTGGAGTCAATTCGAGGTATAGAAAGGAAATGCAAATCCGTGAGCAAGCGTAATGGCTTGAGAAGAATCCTGAGGCAAAAGCTAGGTCACTATGAATCCGAGCTCGGGGAGATTATGAACGGTTCTAAGGCCATGGCTTTGATGGCTTGTGAATTTCTCGAGGTTGGATTGTCGTTTGATTCAAAACGCAGAATCCCTACAATCACAGAGTCTCAGAGATCAAGGAGTTCGTCTTCCTGGTTGAGAATGTTGCTGGAATTGGTGAACCAAGAAGAAGGAAGCGAAGAGACGCAGAGAAGAAGGTGTGTATCACACTTGATCATGGAAGATTTGAGAGAGACAGTGAGATCGGTTAGGGATTTGGAGGAAGTGATGAAGGGGAAGAGAGAAAGAGAGGTGAAATCTGCAGTTGAGGGATTGAAGAGAAAGTGCAGAGGATTGGAGGATGAGATTGAGATTGTAGAAGAAAGAGTGAAGGATTTGTATAAAAGCTTGATTGATGTTAGAATGGCCGTGTTGGGGATTTTATCGCAGGCCTAGAAGCAAAAATTTGTTGTATCAGATTGATTAGATAGTAGGAAGATTGATTTTAGGGAACTCAGTGTAGCTTCTCTAGATGTAAAGCACTAATCTTAGTTAACCCCTTCATTTTGCAATTCTTGGGTTTTCATTATGAAAAAATCATTTCATGCATGTATTTTAATTTTTATGGTTAGGTTTATTAATTAAAATTTAAAAATCAAGATGTGTCTAAACTCTAACCCTATGCTTGGTTGGAGGGGAGACTAAATTTTAATGAGTTCAATTTTTTTTAAAAAAATTAAATAATGAGATTGTAAAATATTAATATAGAAAAGATATAAAAAAAAAAGACTTAAATTTTTCAACCCTATGTATGTATGTATGTATGGAATTCATTAAAATCTCACATTATTTCTGCTTTTCTCCATTCTAACAAAACAGACCATAAAGTGAGGTTAGCCAAAATAAAGTAAAATATGACCCACTGTACAAGAATGCATGTGACATTGTATTTTCTGCATTTTCATCTTTGCTCCCTCTTCAAAGCTCATGTAAATCATTATTCCTTTTGTTTAAAAAATTATAAAATATTTTTAACTAAATCTCACTTCTAATAAATTAGTTAATTATTTTTAAATAGATTAATGAGCATCCTAAATTATAAACTATTACATGAATAACATTTTGAACCCTAAGTCTTGAAACATATAAAAATTAATTTTAATTTTTAAATTTTAAGTACTTGAAATCTTATTATTAAATTGAAGAAAATGACAATTATTTTTATAGTTGTGTGGCCCAATTACATGTTTATGTGGTACCTATCTTGACGTTAAAAAATAACAACCATTTTTTTAAACTTAATGATAGGGTTTTAGAATCATAATTTAAAAGTTGAGAAGAATTTTTGTACATTTTAAAAGTTTAAAATTAGGATACTATTTACGTAATAATTTAGAGTCTAGAATGCTCATTAATCATTTTTAAATTAATATTATTTTTTCATATTTATTTTTATTTTATAGGGTTTTTACTTGAAAATAAATATAAAATAATTTATTTATTAAAAATATTTAAAAATAAAACACATTAATTATAGCTTAAAACACCTAAATCTTGTTTGATAGGAAGGAATAAAAGAGTGAGATTGAAATTGGGACCGCCTAATATCAAGTTTTTGTGTTTGATATAAACGAAAATTTTAATACCAGGACCCCATGGTGCTGCAAAAACAACCCGGGGACTGAATTTTTTTAAGACCAAAATAGCCTTGGTTCGTGCGACACAGATCATCATTTCAGGTCAGCGCATCTTCTTCTTTTCAGGGCGTTGGCAAGCTCCCCATCTTCTTTGGTTCATCTTCTTTGTTTTCTCTTTCCAGATCCACAAACTCAACCTCCCCATCTTCTTTGGTTCATCTTCTTCAACGGACCATGCGGCAGCAGCACGATGATTTCAGTTCCAGGCCTGGACAAAGCATGGACTTGCTGTGTTTGCTCAAGATCGTCGTTCCCACAGCCGCCGAACCCACATCCACAACTTAGCTTGCTGCGTTTGCTCCGTTCCAAGTCGTCGGTTGTTGCTTTTGATTTCTTCTAATGGGTTCCCATTTTCTGATTTTGGCCCACAAGTTTGAATCCATGGCTTTGATTTTCTTCCCATGGGTTTCCATTTTTTATTTCAGCCGATCCTCTTTTCCGGGTTGAGCACAGCTGTGATGGGAAGAAGCCAAGGGCATTTGGGTCTTTTTGGTTGACTTTTGTTGATCAGAGACTTGTTCTTTTCGTTAATTCCATCATTCCATGCCATATCAAATATAATTTTAAAGTTTATTCCCACTATTATTTTCATATCCGATCTCATTACCTATCCCATTCATAATCCCATAAAGCTTAATTTTTCATGTCAAACAGATCTAAGGTTCCATTTGCTTACTTGTAAAAAATTACATGAAATAAATTAAAAAATAAATATAAAAATAAATTAAATTATTATTCCTCTCATGATAAATATTATGAATCTTTTTGATTAAAAAATGAATGAATCTAAAAGCATTATGATAAGTATTATGAATTCTTTTATTTTTACCTTTATTTCTTTGGCATTTATTGAAGTATATTACTTTTTTTTTTCCATCCAACCCTTCAAAAAGATGTCAGAAAAAGTATCATGAATCTAAATTTCAAATGTAATAAAAGGAACTTCTGTTCAAAAAAAATTGTAATAAAAGGAACTTCCTTTAAGGGAGTAAGGAAGGAGGAAGTTTGACAATAAATTTATTATTTTTAAAGGTTATCAGGATGTTAATAATGATCTAAAATAGAAGAGATGCATTTATAAGTTCATAAATATCATTTCCCGACCATGAAGATCCAATTGAAAATTTCAAAAACCTTTTTTTTTTTTTTGCTTTTGATACACATAAAACATAAACACATTTTAAAACCTTGTAAAACTATGGGAATCTACATGCAATCTTTGAAGAATTTCAAACTGATTTTAATTGAAAAAACAATTATTAGCACTTTGCAACCTTCAAAACTTGGCCAGTTTGATTAAACATTGATATTCATGCGCCTTTCTTTTATTTCCACTTTAGCAAAGGCATTGCTTCCACAATTTCAAGATGTTAACTCAGTGCACCAATAATTTTTACAAGGTGGAAGCAGCTTTTTTTCAAACTCTAAACACAAATACATTACATTCATTTTCAGTTTGAAAAAAGTTGTTTATTAATATCCCATTTATTTAAGATTAAAAAATAAATAATTTTTAAATAATTTAGAGATCTTATAAAAAGAGATTTATTTTGTAGAAATTTTATAAAAAGCAGACATGATTTTATATTTAGTTATAATAATAAAAAACTAATTATTAATTAGTCATTTTTAAATTTTATGATATCTTCCTTGATTTTTGTTTTATAAAAATAATTATTATTATACTATTTTAAAATTTTATGATATCTTCACGTATCCTACCTTTTAAAATACTATTTCTCATCTATCACATTATATTATTTTCATAAGCTACTTTGAAATAATAAAAAATCTGCTTTTTATTGAATTTTGATTATTTTCAAAAATTTAAACAAATATTAAAAAAACTCTAAAAAAATCACAAATTTTCATGAAATAAGCTAAAACAAGCCAACCCTAAAAGTCCATTTATCAAAAGTTAATTTGATAAAAAAATAGTTATTCTAATACTTCATCTATTTAAAAATATAAGGTATTTTAACTGAATCTTATTCTTTAATAAAGTAGTTACCTATTTTTAAATTAACCCTATATTTTCATATTTACTTCTATTAAACATACTACAATAAATATAAAGTTATTATCAATAAGGGCATTTAAAAAAAAATAATAATTATACCTCGAAAGACTAAAAATGCCTTATATCTTTGAACATTTAATTTTTTTTAAAAATATCTTATATTTTTGAACGAAGGGAGTAGGATTTATGTCTGAATGCATTTTATAAAAATGAGTTTGGTAAATTAAAAATTATTTAAAAAAATAAATGTATCAACTTTTTTTGGTTGCCCACGGCTCATGTTAAAGGTAATCTTATTCGAGTTATTATCAGGTATTAAATGTAGGCAACTCTTTTAATAAAAATTTAAACATTAGTTTACCCTATTGTAAGAAACTATTTCTTTTTGCTAAAGCCTGTTCCATTAGTAATAAATCAACTTTTACCATTAGAAAGTAATGGAAAGTTGTTCAAAAGCCAAAAATATTTTTTTTTATAATTAAGCAAATTTTCTTTTGGTTACAGATAATTAAGCAAATTTAATTAAGAAGAAATAGTCTTTACACACACTAGCCGAAAGTAACTTTTGAAAAGTCTATCAATAGAACAAAGATTTCCTTCTGAAGTAAAAAATTATTACAAAAGAACCTTCTGAATTTTTTTTTTTTGGGGGGGGGGGGGGAGATATCTACACAAATTTCCCCCAAAGCCATGTCATTTGTTTAGAAAAGATTTCGGCCTTAAAACCAGCAATCACATGTTCATGTGTGTGAGTGTTTTAACTTGATTGTATAAATAATAATAATAATAATAATAAATAAATAAATGCACAACCCCGGGTAAAAAGAAATCATTAGAAAATAATAATGCAACACTCAAAATAATAATAATAATAATAATAATGCTACTTCCATGAAAGGCTAACATCGATATCATCATGTTGAAGCGAAGCAGTACCAAAAATTCAAGATCTGCGGAAAGAGGCAAAGTATCTGTGTCCCCACAACTCGAAAAAAGAAAAAGAAAAAACCTATCGTCCACAAAAAAAAAAAAAAGATAAATAAAAGAACTAGTGAATTGACAAGAAGTGCACACGGGCAAGCGCATACTCATTCCCTGCAATCCAAACACCAGTTTGAGACCATTGCACATCTTCCCAGCCCAGATTTTCCTCTAGCACCTGATCCCAAATGTTAAAAGTTAATGCTCTCAATGAAACCAAATCAAATCCTTCATGCGTATACATTAGAAAAAAAAGAATGACACATGATAACAATTGTACGTAGAGCGTATGTTTTATCCTTATATTTATTTTCTCCTCTTCTATTATCTCTTTCTGAAAGTAATCACCCCATCAATGTGAAAGATTCAGATTACAATGAAACAGCACCTATGTGCATTTCTTGCCTTAAACCTTGTGATTATGAAAAAGAAGAGAGAGAGAGAATGGGAGAAGGAAGAGGCCATGGAGAGAGAAAAGAAAACAAAAGGATCATGCAAAGGGCTTGCAAACATTCAAAGTTTCAAACAAATAACAAAAGAAGATACCCACAACTTCTAAAAGAAAATTTACAGAGATATTATTCATAAGCAAGTGAAAAATTCATGTGAGTGATCAGAAAGTACCTCCACATAGTCAAGGGGCAGAGGTATGCCAATTGTAAGCATCGTTTTCTGGGGCAGAGGCGTTTTGCAACGAGACCAGCGAAAGACATCGATCGTAACATTATTACAATCAGATTTTCCACCTTTTGCAGAATGCGAGTGGTGATTTTGAGACTTCTCTAAATCTGGGTCATGCATTCGAGCTGGTGGCATGGACTTCCTCTTCTTCTCTCCAGTAAAACATAGCTCATATCTGCAAGTCCCCCCATATATTACAAAATGTCCTCTAGGAATCCTAAATTCACCAAGACCCCAGACTACATGATAAAAGAAACTGACCCTTTACATTCAAATACCAAAGAGTTACAAAGAAGCAACGCCGGATAATTGTTAGCAAAGGAAACTTACTTCCTCAAATAACTCCATTTTTTTTCTCAAATGGCTAATTAGAAAGAATTTGAGGATTGAAACTTATTTGGTTATAAAATGCAGCTCCACACCAAAAAAGAAAAGGATCAGAATGAAGCCTGTTACACAATTAACATACAGATCACTTGCGTTGAACTACTGTGCAAAAAAAAAAAAAAAACCTGCATGAATGGTTCTCCAAATACAAAACTTCTCCTTTCTTCAAGCGAGCAGATGTGAAGAGTGGTTTTTTAAGGCCCTTGTCAGCGACGATGCTTATACTGTACTTGATCCTGGTAAAATATTTTTATCATGAATGTGCTACAAGTTTTTGTCTAGTATCTAATTTAGGAAGAGTAAGAAAATGTTGTAACCCAATACAGACATATTTTAAATTAAAGCTAGCATACCAAGGCTCATTGCAGAGATTGTACTGAATAGTGACTTCTCGTACTAATTTTTGCTGCCGCAATGCATTCTGTTTGTAATGCAGACCACCATGTAGAATAATAAATTAGGATGTCAACATAGATAATCTATGTATGCGTTACTAAGTTACTCAAGAACGTGAAAAACTTGTAAAACCAGGAAAAGTATTCCTTTTTTTTTTTTTTAAATATCTCTTTCCCCTACTTGTTCTCATGCCAAGATTGCAGTTTTCCATCTGGACATCAAAAGCATTCAGCAAAGAAAGAAAATTTTATGAATTATAGAGAATAAAAAAATTCATAGAGAAATGAATTTATTAAAGACGAGAAGAACAATACAAACATGTGGGCATGCCCTCCAAAAAATATAAACTTTACATTTTCTTTCCAGATAAAAAAATATATTAATTAGATTTTTTTTAAAAGAAGGCCACAGATAAACTGTGCCAAAAGACAACTTATGTCATGTCAATGTACAAAAAATTTCTATAACCAGCTGGAGAGATATAAAAAATATGAACATTTAGATTATCGATAGAAGCTTGGTGAGCCATCATTTCGTGCATTTATTTGCCATATTAATTAGATTTTGAGTGCAAAAGGTTTTAGTCACGAGATGTGGGACAAACCGAAGCTGCAGCTCTGGTAGTTATTGTCCTCTCAACAGTCACTGGAGCAAGGGTGGGCTCTACAGTTGATGTGTGAGCAAGGCAAGGTTCAAGATCTACAGTTCCACCTTCTTTCTGAATAAAAGGGCAACGAAACCAGTAAACAAGAATAAGGTTATATACATAAGGACATGAGCAATTGTGCAAACACAGGTGTTACTATGTAAATGTGAAGAGGCAGAGTCATTCCAAGAACTAACACCCCTTCCTTTCAAAGATAATCTTAGAAAGTAGTTAACATGCTATGAAAATCGTAACAAAAGCATGCCTATGGAAACAACACAGCCATCTC